CTGGAGCGCTTCCTTCTTCGTCCACGGGTCATTTGATCGGCCTCGGCCATGGTCCGCGACAGCGTCGTCGTCTCCGTCGCCCGCATCAGGGGTAGGTTTGGAAGGGATTTGGAGTTGGCCGGGTTGCAATTGTTTGGTGTAGTATAATGTTTGGACAGGGCCTTTGTTGTATGCACGCGAGCGCGGCTATGGTGGGTACCATTCGCTGCGCCCAACCAATGGCTTCTTTTCCAGTGGTTGCCCCTGCTTCCTTTCTTCTCTCTTCTCTTGTGCCGTGTCCAAACAATTGAAGAATGCCACACTTCTGGTACATTCGCCCATCCGCCAACCAGGCGCCAAAAGAGTGCAATTAGATTCTCCGTACCAAAAAGACCAATAACACCCAACGGTTCCATTTTGGCGGCCAAGCGAGCTGGGCATGGCGAGATGGTGCGGGTAGACGACGCCGACTATTCTCCTCAACCTCTTCATCATGGGTATGCGCTAGATGCGCGAGGCGATCCCGCGCCTTACGCTCGAGAAGAGCCTGACGAGATGACCTGGCTACATCCAGCTGAGGAAGAGTCCGTTGAGCGCTCGTTGACAGTCGTTGCTGCGAAACTTGGCCAATATACTCGATATCCTGTATTAATGAATACTGTAAAGTATCTAAATATACAGTAAAACCTCGCGCTTGGCCGATGTGCAGAATGTTGGTTGACGACGAGGGGCCAAAGACGAAGATTGTGCAAGCATGAGCGACGACGCCTTGAGCTGCTGCTTGAACGTGCTGCGCCGGATGCCCCCGGGGCAGGTGGCCACGGACCTCGCCGGCCTCTGCCAGCTCGTGCCCGAGCTCGAGGACGAGCTTCTCCAGCGCGTGGACCAGCCGCTCGGCCAAATGGTCGACCCGACCACCGGCCGCGCCTTCCTCCTCTGCGACTACAACCGCGACGGCGACTCGCACCGGTAGCCTCATATATCCTCGCCCACGCCATGCGTGCTCAATGCGCCTAGGTCGCCGTGGACGAACGCGTACTTTCCGCCCATTGACGACGGCGAAGGCTTCACGCCGTCCGACAGCCTGCGCCAGCTCGAGATTCAAGCCAACGAGATCTTTGACGTGTACCGCGAAATGTACTACCAAGGTATTGCTCGCATGCTCTGCTACATTAAGGGTCTTGGCCCATCATAGGTGGCATCTCGTCCGTGTATATGTGGGACTTGGAGCCGGGCTTTGCGGCGTGCTTTCTCATCAAGAAGGACGTGCACCAGCAGCGGTACCGGCAACTTGCCATCCTAGTAGCCTGCATATGACGTCGTCGCTCTCGTAGGTTTGTCCAGAACGGCGGGTGGAACTCGATCCATGTCATTGAGGTGCAAGAGAAGAGCGCGAAGGAAGCCGTGTACAAGCTCACGACGACGATCCTCGTGACGATGGACGTCAACCGCAACGAGCTCGGCCACTTGAATCTCGACGGCAACTTGACGCGGCAGACAGAGAAGGTGCTGCCCTTTGACGGTCCCAGCGCGCACCTCACCAACATGGGCCACCTCATCGAGGACATGGAGATCGAGATGCGCTCGAGCCTCGACCGCGTCTACATCTCCAAGACGCGCGAGGTGATCAACGGCATTCGAAAGCTGCAGCACGGGTATCTCCATCCTTGTCCGCATCCGATTCTATCCTAGATCTATCCTGTAGGCCGACGCAAGGCAGCATTTTTGTCGGCGAACTCGGCCGCGCTGTTCTCAAGCATGGCGTGCCCAAGCCCACTGCGTAATATCCAACACCCATTGAATCGATTCGGTCGACATTGGACGGTTGGATACTCGAGTGGATAGCTATCCTGGATACGTTGTCTGTTGGGCTACTCTTGCAGGCGTACCTCGTTGCCATCGGTCGGGCAAGCCAATCCTGCGATACATTCGTTCCGAGTTGGTGTCATTGCACGAGATATCACCGTGGCGTGGGCGCGCCAAGGGTCGCCACATGGCTACTCGCAACAACCTCTGACGGGCCCCTCGGAAGCGTCCGTTCCGTCGCACCTCAGCACTGAGAGGAGGCACACGCGTCACGTGACAGAGCACGACGACGTACGCGGCTGCCCCAAGGGAAGAATGAACCATCTTCCCTAGCTGCCGCCTTGGCCCTGTGGGACCTTGGACGTACACTCTCGCTACCATCATTCGCGCCTCCAGTTGCCCTATCGATTGGCATGACGATCTTCACAAATGAAGCAGTGGGTACATCTCGGAATGATGAGGTCGAGTCAACGTTGTGGGTGACGCGCCATGTGCGTCCCACCGTCGAGCGTCGATGAAATCAACTCGCCGTTTGCAGTCGTAGACAGGTCCGGAAGAACGGACTCTGTGCACTTGCGACTTTGGTTCGCAGCGACTTCCTTGGTCTGACGACACGTTCGCTCAGTGCTTGCAGAAGAGCTAGAAGCACATAGACAATGCACGCACGCAAGTGACTCGGACTACGCGGACGTCAGTCCGTCAGCACTCCAGAAGACGTGTGGTCTCGTCGGTGTTGCTAGTCGTGTATGAGCCCAGCAAGGGACTCGCGAGACGACTCGATACGTAAATAGCTACACTTCGACACGACTTGCAGTGTACGTATTACGTTGTTGGCGACGTCATGGACTTGACCGCCAGCTGCTCCGTCTCAGTGGCCAGTTGAAAGGTTCGCGCGGGGTGGTGACACACGCCAAATGACTAGAGTGCGCCTCGCGACCGTCTTTGCACGCCGAGACGAACGGCTCCCTTGCCCCACGCCGCCATTGCGCAGTCGAGTGGCCTCGGACGCAAGGGATCGGAAGCGCCTGCACGCGACACCGCGCGGCGGAGATTTGAGTTGTACCAGCTGTGTGACGACTGCGACGCTGCACCACTCCATAGCGCCTCGGGATCTTCGTGGTTGTCTACATTGACAAATCTAGAACCACGTGTTGAACACGGATGCTGTCGACGCCATTTCAGAATTCGATGGCAGCCATGCCGACCGGCTTCTATGGCCACCTCACGGGCCCACCGCTCTTTGTGAGCGAGAGCACGTACACGACAGCGTGGTGCGACCATGCGTGCTTCGGCAACGCCTCGGCACCGAGCTGCATTTGGTACGCCAATGGGTCTGTCAGCAGCGGCGGCGTCGCTACGACCAACGGTCTCGAACTTCTCGGTACCGACGCAAGCCTCCACGTTCAGTACCTCGAGCGCCTCCCCGCGGCAACGACAGCGCTGTGCGTATCATTTGCATTTGAAAATCGTTTTCACATTGGTCATTATTGATGTAGATCACTCGACAGCGTCGGCTTGGTGCGTCTTCAGCAAGATCTGCGCCGAGACGACATGGGTCGCATCGTCGCCATGAGCTCGTTGTACGTTCTCCCGATGCGGAAGCACGAATGCGCGGTCGCTCAACGCATAATGGGACTAGGCTACTGGCTCGGAATCATATTGCGACCATCGATGGAGTTCAATTCCCGACGCAGCTCACAACCTTGTATGACAATGAGTCTGCGATCTTGGCGCGAAACGCTGCGTAGAAGCTTGCGACAAAATGCACTGCGGTCCCTCGGCGCGGTCCTAGCGCCCGTCCTCGCCTCGCTGTACGTGCGCCGTCACACCGCTTCGAGACGAGTACCTTGCTCTGCGTAGAGATGTGTCCTTGAACAAGCTCACGGCACTTACAGCCTCCGACATGTTGCCGACATCACTCCAGCTCCTGTTTGGCACCCTGGCTCGTAACTCGAATAGGTTCTTATGACCAGATACGTAGCAACCTCAGCGGCAATGCGCTGCAGACACTCGCCAGCGCCGCCTTCCCGCCCATTTTACAGCACCTGTACTGGATATTTCGTTGAAGATTTCATCCTTGAAGGTCTCTCCTAGCGACGTGGCCAACAACCAAGTGCGGTCCCTGTCAACTGTGTCGTGGCCACCCTGCCTCCTCACGCTGTACGGCATCCTCATGACCACGTAGTCTCATGCAATCGGCTGTAGCAATGCGTCCAACAACGCGCTGACGTCCCTGAGCAACGTGTCGTTTCCCGAGACGCTACAGCAGCTGTACATGATCGGGTTCAGCGTGCGTCTTTCACCTGCGCTGTAGAGAACTTGGGCACAATGCCATTTCGGAAATCCGAGCTGCTTTTCCGAAATCTCTCCGGCGCCTGTACGTCCCGCCGTGTAGGTCTGCGGTTCGATTGGTCTGCGTAGGTGTCTCGGGCCCAACCCTGTCCAAGCGTTGTACGCCAACGCGTCGCAGTACGCTTTGCTCGAGTCCCTTGGGCGGCCAGCCGACGACTGCCTCCTCCAAGTCAACGCAACAAGCACGGCGTGCGCAGGACACTACGGCATGGCGCTGCTCTGGGGTCTCTACCCTGTCTGCCTCTTGCCCGATGCGTCGATAATCTCGGACGCCGACGCGGCGGTGTTTCCCTATGCGGCTGCCATTGGCGGTGGCGTCAGTCTTGCGGTCCTTCTCGTCATTGCCGTCGTCTGCTACGTCTGTCGGCGTCGGAAGCGTGTCCGAATGAGCCAGTCCACGCCGATCGAGATGGACGTTCGATCGTGGTACTCGTCGGCGCAGACCCCGACGCCGCTTGAGCGCGCGAGTTTGCACTTGGAGGCCGAGTTTCGAGACCACTTTATACCGCAATCGGCGCTCACGCGAGGGCATCTGCTCTACCGACGCGAACTGAGCTTGGTACACCGCGCACTGTACCAGGCGGCCGGCGCGGACGACGCCGAGATGATCACGCTCACGTCGTTGCCACCGGACAAGTCGGACGACCCGGACGCAGTGGGCATTTTCCTGGAGAATGTCCGCCTCCACGCCCAGCTGCACCACCCCAAGATCGTGCGCTTCATTGGTGTGACGTGGCGAACCGTGAAACAACTCGCGCTTGTCACCGAGTACATGGAGCGCGGAGATCTCTGGTCGCTCCTCCAGGAGCCACCGATGCATGCTTGGCTCGATGACATGAGCGGTACTGGCGTCACGAAGCTCTCGCTCTTACACGACGTCGTCGACGGCCTGCGCTACCTCCACTCCTGCGACCCGACTGTGTTTCACATGGACCTCAAGGCCGAGCACATCTTTGTGAGCGAGAGCTTCGAAGCCAAGCTCGGTGCGTTCGGATCGACGCGCGCGACGCATCATGCCGAGGACGTGACGGGCACGGATGACGAAGCGGTCGTCGCCTGGAGCGCCCCCGAAGTACTCAAGGGCCTCCGGTACACTGAAAAGGCGGACATTTACGCACTTGGTGTCCTCATTGCGACCATGGATACGGGAAAAGCACCGTTTGCCGACGAGTCAAATCAACTGCGCGCGTCGCGAACACGCATCGCGGTGCATGTCATGGCCGGCGACGCCACGCTCGACTTCCGAGACGACTGCCCGCCGGCCGTGCGCTCGATGGCCGACCGGTGTCTTTCGTACGACCCGCGGGATCGCCCAAGTGCCAAGGATGTGTACAAGTGGATTGATTTTATCCGCAAGGCGCCACTGACCGTGCCATCACCCGAGTATCTTATCTAATTGAAACGGTCGTCCATGGCAGCCTGCCACGTCATGAAATTGCTGTTTTTGTTGACACACGTGCAATCTCGCACGAATCCGGCCAATTCGTACGAATTTACTGTGCAAGGCCCCACGGTACATCATGGGCATTGTCCCACATAAGGACTGTGAGAAGGTGAGACGTCGTGGCACCGTTCGCTGCTTACTACAGACTGCAGACGAGATTTTGTCGCCTTTCTTGGTGATCGAGGAGAAGTATACATACACCTGAGCACGGCGCGTCGATGCCGAGACTTGCCATCTCGCAACGTTGCCGCAGGATATGCAGTGTGAATAACGCCATAGCACGTGGCGTCATCCGAACGCGCGCCTGATCTGAGTCGCCCGCTCCGTTCGATGGCGAGATAGGGATGTTGCGTCCATGATGCGAAATGGAGCGCTGTGCTGCCAACTCACAATCTGGATGCGCCTGGACGCACAAAGAAAGGACGTGGCGGACTTGTCGCGCACGCCCACCATGGTACTTGTGGGTGTGAACCCTCGTGTGGTCGTGCGACCTTCCTGAGCACCGAGATGGGCGCTGCTCTATGCATAGCGCCGATGCTGTAATGTGAGGCGCAGGTCCTGACAGCTCTGGACCGAGCTGCCCGACAGGCGGTGGCCAGGCCACTCTCCTCCAACCCTAACCCTATTCCATACAAAATATAGTATAACCAGGAGCCGTGGCACACTCTCCTCTCTTTGCCGCAGTCCCAGCTGGCGCCATCAACCCATGGATGATCTAACGGCGCGTTCGAACCGTCGAGCGATGCTGCATTCGACCATTCGACGCAGATGCACCGCCACGCAGTCGCCTGGAGCTTGCTTTTTGCGGTCGCTGTCGACGCCGCCGTGACCATCTGGGGCGTCCTCGGCAACCGCCTCCCGCGCACGGTCACGCAGCGCACGTTCACGACCGACTGCGGCAATGTCAACTTCACCTACCCGTCGACGTGGGCGCCGCTCTTGTCGCCGACCTGCATTTGGCATCCGCTCGGCCGCGTCTCGCGCGCCGCGATGGAGAAGCGGCGCAACGGCATGAACTCGACGGTCGCGGGCCTCATGACGATCATGAACGGCCTCGATGTCAATTTTTCAGACAACAACCGCGTCGACCACATCGAGAGCCTCCCAAGCACCGTCGCCACCATGTAGGCGTAGTTTTGTTGGTGGGACCTCCCGTGTTCTCACAACCGTGTGTGTAGTGTGCTGGACGACCTCGGGATTCAAACGCTGAACCCGAGTCTCGCGTTGGACTTTGCCGGCGACGTCATCTCGGCCACGACCTTGTGCGGCCCGCCACGTCGATATATCTATGGCGCTCATTGGTTTTGAAAATGCTAGGCAAATGGGCAACAACTCGATTCGCTCCATCGACAACATTGCGTTTCCACCGACGCTCAAAACACTGTATGAAACACTGTATGACGTGGCGGCTCCTCATGGTCGCGTAGGAGCCTCCAGAACAACTCGATTTCGAAACTGGGCAAAGTCAACGCCAAGAACCTCGCGGCCCTGTACAGCACCCTACCGATTGGTTGAAAGAGGTGTGACGCGCATGCGTAGCGTCTTGGACCGCAACCAGATCCGCACTCTCGATGGCACCGACAGCCTACCATGGAACCTCGAGGGCCTGTATGCTTTCGCCAAGTCTTTTGCTTGTGCTCATCACACTCATAGCTTTATGTCCGACAACAAGCTCGAGACACTCCGCGATATCGCATTTCCACACATGTTGGTGACCATGTACGCCCCGCAACGACACGACATCCCTTGCTCATTGTTGAACTCTAACTAGTGACGTTGGCGGCAACCGCATTTCGCGCATCGATGACGTCACGTGGCCGCCCCTCCTCTTACACCTGTATGGACACATTGTCTGCTTGAGTCTAACCATGGTTAGGAATCTGTCATCGAATGGCCTCTTGAGCCTTGACAACGTCACATTTCCGTCGTCGCTTGGCTACTTGTACGCCTCGGTCCATGTCTACTGTGCACTTATCACGAGTGTTGCAACACTAGGGAGCTCGTGGACAATGGCATCACAGAGATTCGCGCCAACTTTCCCGCCGCGCTCCAAACACTGTACGGTACACTGTTTCAAGCTGCAACCCTAACCCCACCTGGCCTAGCTGTCTGGCGCGCAACAACATTAGCGCGTTCTACGCCAATGCGTCGCAGTTCCAGCTGCTATCGAATCTCGCCAACAACTCGACCGCCCTCTCGTACATCAACCACGTCGACGGTGCGGGACGCTTCACCGGCGCCGGTCCTTGCGACATCTTTCTGAGCACGACGACGACCAACGTCTCGTGCGTCGGCCACGTGCGCACCGAGCTGCTCTGGAATACGTTTCCGATTTGTATACTCCCCGACACGAGGTATCCGCTGCCGCCGCTGTCCCCTGTAGGCGGCGACGCCACGAGCCTCATCAGCATCATCGCGGGTCTCCTCTTTGCGTTGCTACTGCTCGTGGCGCTTGGCGTGTTCTACAAGCGGCGCCAAACCCGGACCTCGAAGTGGCTCTTCAGCACGACCGACCGCAGCAGCGACCTCGAAGCTGCGATTCTCGATCGCGCGGCCGCAGTTGCCAACGACGTGCGCTTTGACGCGCGGTTTCACGGCGCCATCATCCCCGCGCAGTCCATTCTGCACAAGGCGGTGGTCGCCAAGGGCGGGTACGGCGTCGTGTACGTCGCCACCTTGGTGCTGCGCGGGCGTGAGACCAAGGTCGCAATGAAGCGGCTCCGGCCCGAGCGCGCCGACGACACGGCCGCCGTCGAAGCCTTTATGGACGAGATCCGGCTCATGAGCCAGCTCGAGCACCCCAACGTGGTCGGTTTTCTCGGTGTCACGTGGACGCATCTGCATAACATTGCGCTGTTGACCGAGTACATGGAGCACGGCGACCTCTGGGGCCTCCTCCAGTCGCGGCCGCAACTGGCGTGGACGGCCGCGGACGCCAAGCGCGCCAACGTCGCGTGTGACGTGACCAAAGCGTCGCTGCTGCTCGACGTCGTCAAGGGCCTTCGGTACCTCCACGCGTGCGACCCCACGGTCGTCCACCGCGACCTCAAGGCCAAGAACGTGCTCATTGGCTCGGATTTTGTCGCCAAGCTCGGCGACTTTGGCTCGAGTCGGCTCTACGACGAGGACGACAACACGATGACGTCGGAGATCGGCACCATCCCGTGGATCGCCCCCGAAGTGCTCAAGGGCGTGCGCTACAGCGAGAAGGCCGACATGTACTCGCTCGGCGTCCTGCTCTCGGAGCTCGATACGCACAAGATCCCGTACGCCGACTTTTCCTTGCTGTTGCCCGACGCCGGTGGCAACGTGCAAATGACCAAAGCGCGCATCGCGATGCTGGTGGTCGCCGGCGACTTGCGCCCAACCTTCTCGCCGTCGTGTCCGCCGTCGCTGCTAGCGATCGCGACCAAGTGCTTGGCCTACGATCAAAATGCGCGGCCGACCGCCAGCCAAGTGCATACATGGCTCCACCACCTCCACGCCTAAGTCGTATATTCAAGTTGTCATGTCGCATGTAGACCCAACGACGATGTTGATCATGTCGTATCGATACACTGGACAACATTGTCTGGTGGCGTGTAAAAAGAGTGGTTTTGTATTGCAATGGAAGGGTGTTGACGGCAGCATCCTCCAGCTTTACTTGGTCGGCAAGCCGAGCGCCTTGCCGATAATGCGCGTCTGCTCGAGGTTGTGAACCGCGTGGTAGCCCGTCGCGGGGGCCGCCGACGCGACACGGCCAATGTACGACGGACGGCGCGTGTCCTGGTTGATCGTCTTGAGCTAGAAACACCCAATCGCTCAGTATCAACCTCGTATCAAGATGGCAACATACCGCCGTCTCGAAGCGCGGGCTCACATACGTCCAAAAGCCCATGTTTTCGGGCTCTTCTTGGACCCACTTGACGTCGGCGTTCGGGTACTTGGCCGCGTACTCGGCGACCTTGTCAAACGGGAAGGGCGCGATCTGCTCGACGCGGACGATCGCAATGTCGTCAATCTTGTTGGCCTCGCGCTCGGCGGCGAGGTCGTAGTAGATCTTGCCCGAGCAAAAGAGCACGCGCTTGACCTTGTCGTTGGCGACGAGCGCCGTATCGTCGCCGAGGACGCGGTGGAACTTGGTGCCCGGGCCCATTTCCGCGAGCGACGACGACGCCTGCTTCAACCGCAGAAGCGACTTGGGCTGGACCGAGATGAGCGGCTTGCGGAACTCCCGGTGCAGCTGGCGGCGGAGCACGTGGAAGTACTGGGCCGGCGTCGAGCAGTAGACAATCTGCCAGTTGGTCTGCTGGATCTGCATGCGGTGGTCTTCGTCCATCGGCGGCACGACGTTCGGGTCGTCGTCCGTCTGCTGGAGGAAGCGCTCGATGCGGCATGACGAGTGTTCGGCGCCCTGGCCCTCATAGCCGTGCGGCAAGAGCATCACGAGGCCCGACTGGCGCATCCACTTGTCTTCGCCAGCGCTCAAAAACTGATCGATGATGATCTGCGCGCCGTTGACAAAGTCGCCAAACTGGGCTTCCCACATGACGAGCGCGTTCGGGTTCTCGAGCGAGTAGCCGAGCTCAAAGCCGAGGACACCAAACTCCGAGAGCGACGAGTTACTCGCAACGAACGGCGCCTGCGAGTTGCCGCCCGTGTTGACGAGCGGCGCCGACGGGTTGAGCGTCGGCGCAAGCGTGTTGAGCGGCACGTACTCGGTGTTGGTCTTCTGGTCGTGGAGGACCGCATGGCGGTGCGAGAACGTACCACGCTCCACGTCCTGACCAGAGATGCGCACGTGGTTGCCCTCGAGGAGGAGCGAGCCCCACGCGAGCGCCTCGCCCGAGCTCCAGTCGAGGCCTTCGCCGGTCTCGATCGACGACCGCTTGGTCGCAATGATCCGCTTGAGCTGCGAGTTGAGCTCAAAGCCGTCGGGGACCGTCGTGAGCTTGTCGCCAATCTTCTTGAGCGTGTCGATCTCGACGCCGGTCGGGCGGATGCGCGACTGCTGCGTCGGGCTCTTGAACGACTCCCAGCGGTTCGCGAGCCAGTCCGACTTCTTCGAGTCTTCCCAGTTCTTGCTCTCCTCAAACGTGCGGCCAAAAAAGTCCCACACCTTGGCAATGACCGCGTCCGTCTCGGCCATGGTCGCGACGCCCGACGCCACGAGCTGCTGCGCGTACGTGTCGAGCACGTTGGGCATCGTGCCGATCTTCTTGTACATGAGCGGCTGCGTGAAGAACGGGTTGTCAATCTCGTTGTGGCCAAACTTGCGGTAGCACGTGAGGTTGATAATGACGTCCGAGCGCCACGTCTGGCGCCACTCGGCCGCGAGCTCAAACACCTTGACGACGGCGACCGGGTCGTCGCCGTTGACGTGGAAGATCGGCACGTTCATGGCCTTGCCGACGTCCGAGCAGTACTGCGACGAGCGCGAGTTCTTCGGGTCCGTCGTAAACCCAATCTGGTTGTTGACGACGACGTGGATGGTACCACCCGTGTCGTAGTTTTCGAGCTCCGAGAGGTGCATAGTTTCGTACACGACGCCCTGGCCGCTGAAGGCAGCGTCACCGTGGAGAAGGAGCGGCAGCACCTTCTTCTCGGCTTCGTCGTCGTTGCCGAGGTAGTACTGCTTGGCGCGGACCTTGCCTTCGACGACGGGGTTGACCGCCTCGAGGTGCGACGGGTTGGCGACGAGGCTCAGGTGGACCTTGCGGCCGTCCGGGTACGTGCGGTCAAACGACGTGCCAAGATGGTACTTGACGTCGCCCGAGTTGCTCCAGTCGTCGACGTCGTTGACGTACTTGTCCAAGTCGAAGTGGGTGCCCTGGAACTCCTTGAAGATCTGCTGGATCGGCTTGCGAATCACGTTGGCAAGCACGTTGAGGCGGCCACGATGCGGCATGCCGACCACGACGTGCTCCATGCCCTAATGCAAAAAGATATGAGCGCGAATGTATCAAGTTGATAGATATGGAGACCATTTCGGTCGCACGGTCAATCATGTACTTGAGACCCGGGATGAGCGACTCGCCACCGTCGAGACCAAAGCGCTTGGTCGTGTTGTACTTGTTGCCAAGGAACTTTTCAAAGTTGACCGAGAAGGCGAGACGCTCGAGGATGTGCATCTTCTTCTCCTTCGACTCTTCCTTCTTCACGAGGTGCTCGACGTGCGTGCGGATCCAGTTGCACTTTTCGCGGTCCGGAATGTGCATGTATTGCTACATGGAAAACTCAGCTGCATGTATCGAGAGGGATGGGCGTACCACGCCGATCGAGCTGCAGTACGTTTCCTTGAGGCGCTGCACGATCTGGCCAAGCGTCGGGTTCTTGCCCTCCGAGAGCTCTTCTAGAAAGCCCGTGACACCCGACGCAAAGTTCTTGGGGATGTCGATCGTCTTGTCAAGGTCCGCCTCCGTAAAGCCGTACATCTTGATGTCGAGCTCCGGCAGCACCGGGCGCTCCTGGAGGCCAAGCGGGTCCAAGTTGGCCATCTCATGACCGCGGCTCTGGTACGCGCGGATCAAGTAGCTCAAGCCAAGCGCGTGGTTGATGCCAAGCGGGTTCGTAGCGGCGGCGCCGCGCACGACCGGCGTCACGCCGGCCTGGACCGTCGGCGGCGGGATAAAGGCTTCGCCGGGCACGGCGCCTTGGTCTACCTGGCGAAAGTAGACATCCCAGCTCTTGTGCACGCTACAGCAATAACCCGCTTAGTGCCATGGTCGCATCGATGCATGGAGCATGTACCTCGACGGGTCCTTGGTCCACGACCGGTACATCTCTTCGACGTAGACGTTGTTGGTGCCATTGATGAACGACTCGGACGGGTGCGGCGCCGAGCTAAAGGTGCGGAGGAGCGGCGCCTTCATGGTCGTGCTCCGGCGGAGCACGCGCGAGGCCGCGGCAAGCTTGGACCATTGCGCCATCTTGTCGTCGGAGGCGCAAAGCAATTCTGGCCCCCAGACCCACCTGATCCGTTGCGGGATCTCCACCAATCAGCGCGTTTTTCGCGTGCACATTTGGCCAATCAGCGACGTTGGCCTAACCCCACAGAAGTGGCCCTCAGCGACTGAGAAAAGGCAGCCTTTTTGGCCAATGGCCTTGCAGCACGCATTGGCAACTTCAACGCCACCGGCGGATGTGGCGCCGCTTTTATACAAGGCCGCCAGCGATGCGCAATGGCATCGCCGCGGCTCTATGGCCATGACGATGACTCGACGGGTGCTGGCTCGAGCATCTGGTCGGCTCGGCGGCGTCCGCCCATCCCTGCCACCGCGCCGCGTTACCGAGACACGTGGGACACGACCAGTGGAGATGGCTCGGTTCAGATGTGGGTGTCCGTGGAATCCTTCGTCGCCCGTCGGCGGCGTCGATCCAGATGCGATGATCGCCGGTGAAGTCGCCGCCGCCACCCACTCGTTCGTCGTCTCTACACTGTATCTGTTTGGCATGCAGTGTCTTATGTGCAGTCAACGGATGCATAGCCAGCGCCTACTGCACGGCTGGTCCGTACACGGGGTCGACAGCTTCGAGGAACCGGAGGTAGTGGACGTCCGGGTTGACTTGGCGCCCGTGGTGCACAGCGTACGCGTGCGTGAGCAGCGACGTCTCGGCGGGCGACAGCTCGATGCGCATGAGGTTGAGCACGGCCGCAAACTGCGTCGTGGTTACGTGCATGAGAAAGTTGTGGTCGTAGTCTTCAAAGTACGGCTTCATGTTGAGTCTACAACCAGCATGACAATAGTGTCCATACTACCATCGCAAGTACCGGCGAAACTCGACCGCCGTTCGAATGCGCCCGAGGAGCGCGTCAAGCGCGGGCGACCGGTCCGGCGCCGGCACCTCGTCGCGGCAGTCCTACAGCCGCTTGAGACAGCCAACGCATCGAGCAGTCAACCTCGGTGTGCGCAGTCGACTCGATGGCTTGCAGAAAGGTGCGGTAGTCGATTTGGTCCGGTCGACTCGCCGAGGCAAAGGCCGCGTTGAGCGTGTGCACGTCGTCGGCGTTGACAACGAGGCCGCAGCGGTTGATGGCCGTGTGGAACTTGGCGACCGTGATGTCGCCCGTGCGGAGCCGGTCGCTCTCGGCGAAGAACTGCTTGATGCGAATCCGCTTGGCGTCGACTTGCAGCCTACATCGAGACGACGTTGAAGCTCAAATACCCAATCGGGCATGCATACCGCAGGTCCTTGAGCAGCGATGGAAGGCGTACCGCATGCGGCGTCGCTTTCGACCGGCGGAGCGCGGCGGCAGCATTGCCATCCATGTTGCTCCCAGCCGCGAGCAGCAATCGGTACTCGCGCGCCCCTACGACATTGTTGCCTTTTCATTGGTACGAGAAGAAGGGTCGAGTACCTGGCACGCGACCCGCGCCGCCTTGGAGCTGCGACAGCCCATGCAAGAACGCTCGGTAGTTGACGTCGCACGTCGAGCTTACGCCCGGCATTGGTGCGTTCCCGCGCTCTGAAAACTTGATGCAGAGGGCGCGGCACGTCGGCGCGTCGGCCGGCAGCAGCTGAAAGACCGAGAGCACACGCTCGAATTTGGTGTGCGAGATGAAGCCTTGGTTGGCCACGTCAAAGTCCTCGAACGACGGCTTGATATCGAGGCGCTTGGTGAGCATGCGCGACAGCATCGTCTGAAGCGACGCCATGACGATGGCTTCGTCTCGCGCACTCAGCGCCTACGACAAGCTGGAGGCTTTGTACATTGTATCAAGATGTCAACCGTGTCGGTGATCGCATCGGCCTGCTCGGCGGCTTCAATCGCGTGTGAAATGTCTTTGGTCGGCTCGCGCTCGAGGCTACATGGCATGTCGTTCGATGGCCCGTACACATTGTCCTCATGTACCCTTTGACCGTAAAGACAGCTTCGACTTCATCGACAAAGCGCGTCCACGCCACCATCGACGCGCCCTGCGTCATTGCTATCACAATACGCACAGCGAGCGGCACGAACCTCGACGTCGACTTCTTCGTGGTATGGAAACGCCGATGCGAGCAAATCGAGGTCCACGGGCGAGAGGATGAAGCCCGCGGCGTGCAAGCCACCGCCATACTGTGCCCTACGTTCCGCGTTGAACCCGTTGGGCAACAGAGGCATTAGTGGAGTACCGCGTGATCTTTCCCTTGCGGAGGCGGTCGAAGTCGCGGAAATACTCTTCGACGCGGAGCCGGTCGCGCTTGGCTTTCTGTTTGATGTAGCGCAAAAGCATTGGCAGCGTCCGCTGCACGTTGGCCTCGGACGGAGCGTCGTCGGTCACCTTGGGCACACCGCCGTGCTTGATTGGGTCGCCGCCGCTCGACGCCGGGCGCTGCGTCGACTCGTAAGCGTCCAAGTCGAGGCAAAATGTCTTGTAGTTGAGAAACGCCTTGTTGTCAAACGCGAGCTGCGCGAGAGGCGCCGAGTTGAGGCGCGTGCTCGCATACCGCTTCAGCACCACGTGCTTCTCGGCCGGCGACGTGATGTGCAAGTTGAAGAGCGCCAGAACCTACGCGCGCCACGTCATTTCCACCAACTTCAACTTGAAACATTACCCGCGCAAACTGTTCGCACGTGACGCACTCGGTCTTGCCGCGGTCAAAGTCGGTGAACGCGGGCTTGAGCGCAATGCGGCGCGTCGTGACGCTAAAGCTCAGGCGCCGCATGAGGGCGTGCCAGTCGGCGAGCTCGACTTCCGAGAGCGCGCCGCGGAGGCCGCGGGAGCAGGCGGCCGACGGCAGCGTGGGCACATCGACGCTCACGCTATGCGCTTCTCGGTCGTCGTCGTCGTTGTTTTCGAGCTCGTCGGGCGTGTCGCCGAGCGAAATGCTCTTGCAAAACGCAATGTAGTCGACCTTGCGCTCGTGGCTCACGTCGACGATTCCGCACGAGTACTTGGCGACGAGAACGTCCAAGTCGCTCTGCGTGAGCGCGCCAAAGCACACCTACACATACCCTTGTGTGTACCAACTCGTCGGTGTGTCCATGTACCTTGACAGCGCGCATGAACTGCGCTTCCGTGCACTTGCCCGATCGCATCCGGTCATAGTCGGTAAAGAAGTTCTTGACGCGGATTCGGTCCCGGGCCGCAATCTCGCGCAGTGGGCCCTCGATCGCGTCGGCTTCGGTGATGCCATACTGGTTGCCGACCCGGCGCTTGGCCCGCGGTGATGCCGTCACGCCATTGTTGCTGTACGCAGGAAAGACGCCGTCGGTCAAATCGTGGTGCAGCAGCTTGTAGTTGACGTCGAGGCCGGCGCCGTAGACCTTGAGGAGCACGCGGAGCGCACTCGGGTCGACGTCGCCGAGGATGCCAAAGAGGTCCCGTGTGAAGCGCGCTTGCGTTACAAACCCCGAGTTGCTCTTGTCGAAATCGTGAAACACATCTTTGAGCACGACGCCCTAGAGATGGACAATATTGTCATGTGAAGGTAGTGACGATGGCTATCGACCTTGATGCGCACGGCGCGGGCGAGCTGCTCGGTGATCGAGCGCAGCGCGGCGACCTCCGTGTCGCTACTCGGGAGCTGCTTGGTGAACGCGCCGGCTTGCGTCGGGCGCACTGTCTCGAGCGAGAGTTTGGTTTTAAACTTCTTTTCGAGGTCCTTGGCCGTGCAGCTCTTGTCGATGAGGTCGCAGAACCGGCGGTAGTCGACGAGCCGCGGCGTCTCGGGCACACGGTACTTTAGCAGCAGCAAGTCGACTTCGGCGCGGCTGAGTCGAACACCGCTGGCGTCGAGCGCTCGCGCAAACTGGTCAGTTGTCACCTTCTTGGTCTTGTGCACGTCAAAGGTCTTCATAAACTCTTCGAGGCGGATGCGCCGCTGGCTGCATTCGTGCCGGAGCCGGGCCTTGAGCGCCTGGTACTCGGCCTTGGACATCTCGGGCCGTTGGGAAATGGAGCGAAACGGCCGACGCCAAATTTGACTTTGACGGATAACACGCCTTTCTCGCTCAAGCAACTCAAGGCGACCGAAGGATCTCGCTAGTTAGTCGCTCACGATGTGTAATAGTACTACTATTAGTCGAGACGCGCGCTCCTGTTCTGCACCTTCTGGCGGCGCAATGCTTCAAGTTCAAGCCCATGTGGCAGTGGGCACGGCAGGAAATACTACGAACGAGGTGCACAGCAAGGCTCATTGCATCGACAAGCGGGTCGCGGGGTGGCGGTCAGACCCTGGGCTTGTCGCCGTTATCCGGACGACCGGATAGTAATAGCAAAGATCCAAACAGAGGCATTTTGAGGGAATGACGCGCTGCGACGCCGCTGCCAACACTGCCACAGCCCGGGCGCAGTGCCACGGTAAGCAGCGCTCTCAGGCCGCCACTAGGCGGACGCGACATCAAGAACAGCGTGCGCAACGATGCCATAGCGCTTGCGCTGCTGGAGCCCTCCATGAGCCTTGGCGTCGACACAAGCTACGGCCCACGATCGGTGGCAGCGCGGTGGATGGTTCCGCGGCCACACTCGCCTCGCACAGCCAAGGCAGCGCCTGGTTCTCGCCTCTTTGCACTTCGTGGACGACGAGGACGCCACAGGCAGCGCTGCCGACGACGGCGGGAAGCCAGCATGGGCCTCGGCGTCGACACGAGTAACAGCGACAATGTCACGATGGCTAGCCTTACAGTCGCCTCGCGCAACGTTTCCTGGCTGCTCTTCGTCGACAACAGCGCGTCCGTTTCCGCCTTGTTGCCGACTTTGACATAGGCCGCGGTGACGACCTCCCGACGAATAGCAGCGCGGCCACGTCGCCCGACGCTACGTGGTCGCCGGCCGCCATCTTTGACACGGACGACAACGGCGACGAAATGACGGACAAGCGTGTCCCTTCAAGGTGAGCACGGTATCTCGCTGATCTTGACGGACGCGCTCGACCTCCATTTCATTGTCGTTGTTTCCCGTGTCAAAGACGGCCGCCAAGACCGCGTGACACGCAAGGCGTAGTGCTAAAGTTAACGAATGTCAATGCAGACATGGGACGCGTGTCTTATGTTGTGTTACAGATCGTCCTCTCTTCTCCAGCCTACTGCAAAACGGCCCCGCCCGACGACGTGCCACTGACGGGCTCGTGGCCGGTGCCGCCATACGGAGTGACCGACCGTGCTTCGCGCACACGTACTTGTACGCCAGCGCATACAACGCACGCTGCTTCCCGACCGGCGCTATGTTCAGCATCGACAACTCAGCTAGCGCTTGCCCACCCGCAACGATCCAAGTGCTCGGCGCCGTGTAGCCGCGAGAAGATGCCCGCACGCATGCCGGACGAAGACAAGGCGTCGGTTAAGATGTCTTGGAAGCCTACGCTAGTCGCAAACAGGCGGCAAAGCCAAGTAAACTCAACAAAAAGAGCCATGACGGCGTCGTTATTTACACAATCGTGTTGCAGTATGGTGGCAATCGAGTAAGGATGGTATGCTGCTGAGCATTGGTACAGGGCGTGGTCGCACTTAGGCGCCGGTCGCGGCCGTCGGGTTGACGCGTGCGCGCTTGGGCGCCTTCTCCGACTCGGCACGAGGCGACCGGGCCTTGGCGTTGCGGACGCGGAACGACGTCGAGTTGTGTTGTGCGACGAGCTGTTTGTCAGAGTCGCGCCCGGCTGGCGTCTTGTTATCGTCCTCCAGTACGGGCGATGTGACGCGGCGAGGCGACGCGCAATGGCTGGTGATGGCGTTCGGATCCATCGTGGCGTCCGTGTCCTGTCCGGCAAGCAGCGCAGCGTCGCCGTCCATGTCGAATGCAACGATGCGCCGAAGCATGGCGCTTGAACTGTTGGTGGTGCGCGCGGCCATGGCGGCCTCGGTGGCGACGGTTGCTGCGGTGTTGGCGTTGCTCATTGCGTCCTGCTGTCCAGCTTGCCGTTTGACTTTTGAAGCACGCGATCCTTTTGAATTATCCGGATATTGGTAAATTTAAATCCCCGCATCCGATTCGCTAATATGATGGCGGGCGATCATGCATCTCAGCCAATCGGAACCGAGAATTGGCTTGAATCCTTGCATTTCAACCAATGGTGCGAATAGCGCTAAATACGGGCCGTTGATTGGTGCTTTTGCAAGCGCCCGTGCTGTATGGAGCATTTGCCACGTCATGTGCCATGATCACGCATGATGTGGCGCGCGGTGGTTTGCACTTCAAGCGCGTCGTCGTCGAGCGGCCGCAAAGAGATCGTCACGCCCTCGCACGTCGAGAGCGCGTCGATGAGGCAGACAATGCTGTCCCTCGTCAACTCGTTGTAGAAGTAGAGACTAACACTGGCGCTACTCGTGTTGCGCAGCGCGACTTCAGCCGCCGGCACGCCTTGGTCAAAGCTGTCGAACCGAGAAAACGTGATATTTTGCATATTTCCTTCAAAGTCGATGGTTGGGCGATTTCCAACGTGGGAGGGACGAATTCAACACAGCGGACGCTGGGAAATGACGACCAACTCGAGAACGGGGGCCGGGGCAACGCCAGCACGTTTGAAAATGATTAGACTAATCAGTGGATGTATTAATATGAAATTGACAACATTGATGGGGCACTAACACTAGAATGTGAATCAACACACGGATCAAGGTTGCAACGTCGCCGTGCTTTCGTCGGAAGTAGACGTCGAGCGCTTGCGCTTCTTGGAGAGCAGCAGGTGCGTGAGCTGCGCCTGGAGCTCGGCGTCGCGGACCAATGCGATCGCTCCATGATGGCAATGGTGGCTAATGACGAGGGCCTGTGCCCAGTCGACAACGTCGCCAGCCTCCAGTAGCGCCGTGGCCCGCACCGCCACGCTTGGTGCAAGCGGGATCGTTTGGTTGGCTTTTTTGCCTTGGAACGTCAGCTCGGCCGTGATAAGCTGGAGCATCGTCGCACGGCGGCGGTCGGGCAACTCGACGAGCTGCAAGAGGTAGAGGACGTTGTCGAGATGGTCGACAGCGTCCATGCAGAACGGCAGTAAGAGTTTGCTGTCCGTCACGTGTGCTGGCCGACCCGCAATCTCGAGGAGGCAGTCGCGAGGTCGGCCAATGCTGGCTGCAAGGAGGTAGCGCGTCACCTCCGTGTTGCGGCTCTCCACTGCCGACTGAAGCAGCTCGTTGTGGTGACGAAGCTCTGGCTGTCGCTCCAAGATGACAGAGGCGACATCAATTCGCCCAAAGCGCAAGGCTGCCTCCAGCGCCTCGATCGAGAGGTCTTCGAGACAGTTGGCCAAGAGGTAGTGCGCGACGTCCCACGCGTGTGCCTCCATTGCAAGAAGGAGCACGTCAATGCGAGAGCACGTGGACATGCGCGGGTGAAGAAGCTTGACGAGCGGTACGTTGTTCGCAGTGCACGCGTGAACCATCCAGTCGTCGTTCCAGGGGGCGCCATGGTCGACAAGGAGCTTCAGGACGCCAAGCATTTCGAGCTTGCCAAAGCAACCTTCGTCCACCAATGTCGTTGAGGTCGGGAACGGGTAGCCGAGCGAGAGGAGGTACTCGGCCATGTCCAAATGCCCGTTCTGCAGCGCTGCCTGAACGACGTCGTCGCGCGTGCAGCCTTCGCATCGGTTGGCTAGGAGAAACTGGACCACCGGAAGATTGCCATGGCTTACGGCGGCATCGACGGTGTGAGCGGTGCAATCAAACGTGCCAAGGCCATGAAGGTACTGGATGACGTCGAGGCGGCCGTTGCTGACGACCGCCATATCCAGATGGTACGGCAAAGCGCTTCCAGCTTGGTGCTCGAAGAGGAAGCGAACGACATCAAGGTGGCCACCCAAGATGGCGTCATCAAGCACCTCGGTCGTGCGGTCCTCTGGGAGGATGTTAGCAACAAACTTGACGACGTCGAGATGGCCTTCGACGACGGCAAAGCGCATGGCGTCGACCGTGCACGCGGCACCGCGTTGGTGGAGCGACTGTACCAGAGGCAAGAAGCCGCGAGCCGCAAAAGATTCCAAGAGACCTGGGTAGTAAAGCCACGGGAAAAGGTCGAGCGCGATGGTGGCATTCTCCAGCGTCGACCCCACGAGCGCGTCCCGCTTGTCATCGCGTTGGGGAAGGTCGTCGGGCCGCAGGCCAAAACGCTCGAGCAAGGCGAGGCCCTTTGCGCCGTCTCTGACGAGCATGGTCGCCACTGCTTTAGCTACCAAGGGCGAGGCGGGCGACACCGAGCCATCTAGTACATCACTGTGTTACGGTCCGTGCACCAAAAACAGTACGATACCCGCAGCAGGGTGGACGCGTCGACGCAGCTCCGCGATCCTCGGTCGCTGGTCTAAGAGAAGCTCGGCAATCTCGATGTGATCGTTGCAAAAGGCCAAGAAGAATACATCGTCCGACGCGAGGTCGGGCCGGCACCGTATGATGCGCGTGGCCACGTGCGCAAAGCCATGGACGATCGCTACGTGCAGCGGCAGGCGCGCGTCGCATGCGTCGTCGTCCAGAGCGTAGTCGGCGGCCTTGATATCATCGTGCTTGCCATTGGCCCACGCCGTACTGGGAGCGAACGTCCCGCGGAAGGACGCGTCGCAATAGTACGTGGGTCCGTCGTGCTGTGTGAGCTCGCGACAGGCGGCAAAAGCCGGGCGCACGTCTTCGTACACGCCAAACTGGTAGCTAAAGACAACGCCCGCAATCTCGGGCTGCGCGAGCACGGTGCTCTCGAAGGTCGCGATCATGCGTCTTCTCTTGTCGCTGCCAAGCGCGCCTGCCAAATAATGAGATGACCACGCCAGCATTTCGGAATCCACTGCATTCCAAAACACTGTATTTTTCGAAATAGTGTAGATGTTATATAGTGTGACTTCATTCCAGCGTCATCGGCGTGGGCATGGGCCGCCATGGCTGGCCGTGTGGTCACAGCGTTGCGCGGTCCGTCCTGGGTACGTCGCTTCGTCTCCATCCTGCTAGCTCGTTGAACGGTCGCATGCGCTGGTCGTGGTGCTACTCAACTCGACCAAGGCCATCGAATCCTGTAGCTCGCGCGAGCTCGCCAACACCACGCACGTCTTGGCCGCACGATCACGACAACACACGGACCTTTCTCTGGGTGTAGCAGCTCGATAGTCATCCGCCAAGACAAACGTTCGAGCTTGGGCTACACGACGTGCTCGGCGGGGGCTCCCCGATTGGAGGAAGACCCTGGCTTCGCATCGACTGCGATGCGCCTGTAGTACGATACTACGCCCGATACGCCTCTCTTAGTCGGTGTCGAGAAGACGCAACCTCGCGTGCACGGCGGTCTTTTCTCATTTGCGATTCTTTTGCAGATATACACCATGAGCTTGCCTCCAGACTGCACTCGGCGCACAATGCTATCGGGTCGCCCGGCCACAGCATCTCCATTGGTACGTGCTGCAAACGTACCATCACGACACTCACACCAGGTTGTAGAGTCGGAGGCTAGCTCTATGCTCTGTCGTGTGGTAGTGCCGGTGTGTCTTTTCGACCACGTGCCCGAGAGGTAAGTTAGTTGCTGGCGCGCTTCGCCCCATTGCAGCGACGACAATCGAGAACCGCGATTACCGGAGCTTGATGAACGGACGCCGACTCTTTGATTTCATCGTTGTGAAAGCTTGCATGAAACGCTGGGGATCTTGCAATGACGTGGCACTCGGAACCGCATTGCCGTTGCTTCTCAGCAAAGATAAACGCACCTAATCCATACAAAGGTGCTCTTTTCAATTTGACTCGGAGTCAAATTGACATGCGATCTGCGCGGTCGAGAAGAGCACCAATCTCTGCTATCATCCGGTGCGTCTTTTACCTGTACACCCGCCTTCAGCTAACGTTATAAGAGCTCCAGGTCACACGACGGCCGGGAGGAGACCATCGAACCCTGCCTAGACAAATGGAAGCGCGTAGTGGAGCACCACAAGGTTATTTTGCGTCATTCAACTCGACACGTGCGCGTGCGAGGAGCTGACGACTGCGCACCGAGCTGTGTACTACTCATGCCCACTCGCTTCTGAGGCTACTCGGTCGCCACGGCAGTGGGAGGGTTCGAAGGGCCGACGGTTGCCTTATGGCCCATCGAGTGCATATGCTTCTTCAACGAAGCATCCATGACCGTCGACAGACGTCTCTAAGCTACGTCTCTATCAGCGCTCGGCCTCTCGATCGCAATCGACTGCGCACGGTGCTCCTTCCAGCATCCATCAAATAGAGCATACTCCAGACTAGCAACCTCGCGGTAAGGCTGCATGCTAGTACGACCAACGGCAAGAAACAATGGTCCTACTATCCGCGCTTGTGCATCGTCCGAGAGAAAAGGCCTGCATTGCGCCACCAGCTGCGTGCTTTCCTCCTATGGTCCTTTCTCTTGCGCGGGACACGCTGAATTGGCCTAAATGAGTACATTTGAATTTTGATCGAACAGTGTCGGAATGATATATGAGCTTGACTTGGCGAATTCCAAAGTTCATCGATGCGGGCGAGGTCGTGACCACGCGCGTGTGACCGCGGCTACCTCCAGCACTCAGCACAGAATGTGCGAAAGTCGGTCTGCGTGTGCGTCCAAGAACAAAACCAGCTGACCACATGAACTAGAGCCTAAGGTTTAGACTTGGTGTTTGTATGCGCGATCTTGCCCAAGACGGGTTGAAAGCAAAGGTGCCAATTCCTTTCTGAATTCATTTTCAAGTCTCACCCAAGTCACGATGCAGCACGCCACGTCGAACCCGTCGGACGCCCAGCTCGATTGGACGGTGCTGCCGACCAGTCACCGCAATACGAGCAAAGGCAACAACGCCACCGCAGATGGCCTCGCCGAGCATGGCGAAGCGGGCCCCGAAGACGAAGCAGCGGGACCCGAAGATGAGGCCGTGGTCTCCGAGGAAGACAAGACAGCGAGCTTCTGGGAGCAAGGGCTCCCGACGCTGGCTATGCTCCAGGTTCCACCGTCTGCTGGAGCCCATCACGTCTCACGTACCCTGTCGGCTTTGTAGGAGTGGTTTATTATCCTCGCAACCGCGTGCATCATCTTCTACGCTTGGTATCTCGTTCTCGCGTTCAGCTCGATCATCAAGCACACGCCGACGGCGTATGTATCGTGTTGGACGACTCGACCTGAAGGATGGCGGTGTAGGTTCCCGGAGCCCACTGCCTTCGACGACAACCTGCGCTGCTGCAACGGCATCTACGCGCAGTTGGGCTTCATGCACGAGTCGTTTGGCGAGGTACGAGTACGACGATGTGACCGGATGTATAACCTCTTGTGGCGCAGAAGGTCGCGACTCTCGCTGCGAAGACCACTGCCCTCGGCGACACCGCTAGTGCTCTTACGGAGCAGTATCCGCATTGGGTACGCTCGTCGTCGTCGCACGTGGCCCATCGCGGTGTATAGGAGGCCAAGCTGCAGTCCTTTGAGAAGGCCACGAGCGCGCTCCAAGAAAGCGTTCGTGCCAACACGTTGGCGCTCTTCAACTTGGTACGCACGACTACCCGGTTCTACAATGCTTAACAACAATCCACAGGAGGCCAAGCTGCAGACCGTCAAGGAAGCGGCTGCGCCGACGTGCAAGACGCCCGAGCATCGATTCAACTACGCGAGCCCGAGCCTTGGCGGCGCCATCGTGACTCATGCGAGGTATCGAATACTTCGTTGCTCGGACTGTACCTTGGCGTAGCGAGTTCTTTAAGCCGACCTTGCTGGGCGTGATTGCGGACGTGCTGTCTCCCACGCGGCTCACGTCGTCGTCGCATGTGGACGCGTCTTTCTTTGGGTTTGAGTTCATGTCGACGACGCCCGAGAACACGATCAGCGTACGCAGCCTCTTGGTCCTCTCTTCTGATCGTTTGGCTAGTTCAAGATCCCGGGCGAGAACCCGGATGGATGGCACCTCGCGGGGACGTCCGGGAACCTCACAATCCGCTTCGGCTCGCCGATTCTTGTCGACGCGGTCCAGCTCGACCACGCGCATGCCGACGCGTCTTCGGCGCCCAAGATGCTCCAGCTCGAGGTACATATATGTCCATGTCTAGCACGACGCAAGCTGCATGTACATGGTAGGGCTTGACCGCGCACCCGGAGCGACACTACGTCGAGTTCACCGACTTTGGCACGTTCGAATTTCGTGCGGATGGCGCGGTCCAGCAACCGTTTGCGCTGGATGGAGTGGTACGACGACTGCTCTCATGGCAATGTACCGTTACCGTGTGCGGTGTTAGGCGGCGACGACGCCGATCCACGGTATCCGCGTGCACGTGCTCTCCAACCACGGCCGCGAGGAGTACACGGTCTTGAGCTCGATCGAAGTCTACGGCGCCCGCGTCTAGGCTGCCTCGCGGCCAGCCTTCTTAGGCTCTTCGTAACGCAAAATCATGTTTGCGCACCTCCGATTTCTTGGTCCATCGACAGAGCAGAGCGACGAGACCGCCAAGTCGCGAGCGGTTGCAGCTAGCTGATTGCTCTTGGCGCGTCATTTGAAAGAGAGATGGCTCAGAAGACAGTGGCAGCGTACCGGAGAGAGGCCGCCGGTGGCGCATAGCTGTGGCGTATAGTATGGCAAGGCAGATGATCCCGGCAGGCGCCAGAAGGGTGCGAATAGATTCTCAGTACCAAAAAGGCCAATAACACCCAACGGTTCCATTTTGGCGGCCAAGCGAATCCGACATGGCGAGATAGCGCGGGTAGACGACGCCGACCATTCTCCTCGTCTGGTGCGCCGAATCTTATAGTACATGTTTTAGCGCCGCCGACCAGAGAGAGACGTCGAGCAGCGGCGCAAGGTTATGCCGTTGACGAGCAGCGACGTTGTCGACGTGGCCGGCTCCGTGGACCGCAACACTGGATTCGAAAATGAAACTCGTATCTTTTACAACGACTTGGAGTACAAAGGCGAGTCGATGTCGGGTTTGCGTAGCTCGCACAAGTGTCTGGCGATGGCATCATCTGCGCCGTAGCATCAAATTGGCCATAGTGTTGCGCATCGTCAAATGCTACGGAAGAAGCCTTCGCCTGCTCTGTCATGAAGACTTATGGACGCTAGCCACGCGGAAGACTGGGTCGTGACATGCTGCTTCATCGTTGCGCTGCCCAACGTCTGCCCGTCCTTGGAAGCGATTCACCTACAGTCTCGCTTGACGAGAAACGAAGACACCAATCGTCGTTCTCATTCCAAGTCTAGATGCTACTAGCGCCACTGATTCGCATGCTTGCGCGTGCTCTGGGGGTGTGTCTTGGTCGCTTCGCTCGCGACCGCGGCTTCATTGATGAGCCACTCAAAGCCGTTGGTGGCGCTGATCTCGGGATTCAAAAACGTTCGTCGCGCGTCGACCGTGTCGTTGACGATCGCGAGCTCGAGGACGTCGCGCAGGAGGCGGCTCTTCATGTTGCGATCTTCGATCGTCGTCGTCGAGAGCGACGGGGACGCGTTCACTTCGACGAGCCATGGCTTGAGGTCGCTGTCGATGATGATGTCGTAGCCGTAGCACTCGAAGCTATGCACATCGTTGATGATGACGTTCTGAACGGCCTTGAGCGAGTGCAGCATAATGTTGTGGATCGCCGAGAGCATCTTGTCGGCGGCGCCCTACTCTGTGTTGAAACATTGAAATCACAAAGCGACGTACGCGGCCGCGCGTGGCTTCGACGTAGAGACGCAAATTGTAGATGTTCCACTTGCCACCGTGTTTGTTGTTGTAGTCTTCATTGTGCTTTTGGACTGCGACGTTGGTCAAGTGCATGAACGGGTTGTCAATGTCGTCGAGGTCCGTCGAGTACTTGACGTTGCAGAAGCGCGCAAAGCCTTCGCTGTACACAAACGCCTACCATTGTTGAATAATTGTCTTGTGCTTACACGACAATATTCGATGTCTACCTGCAGCGGCCGGTACGAAATCACGAGCACATACATGCGCAGGTCAAACTTCTTGCCGCCGATCAAGAGCGGCTGCTCAATGTAGCGCGAGACGACGTAGCCTTCGACCGACTTGGCGGTCGCCCACTTTTTCGTCTGCGAGAGCTTGTTGATGAGGAAGATGCCTTTGCCCTGCGCCTTGGACGTCGGCTTCATGATCCACATGACGTTCGGGTTGCGTCGAAATTCCTAGTTTGGACGCTAATTGAGTTTGAGTTTTCATGGTTGAGAGCGTTGACCTCGACAAATAGCGAATAGTCGGCCGGTAGCGTGTACGTGACAGGGATAAAATCGAGCTTCTCGGCGAGGCTCGGGTCCTTCTCGGCCTCCTTCTTGTACCTGCCTCATACCTTTTGCTTTAGAAATCGCGATTTGATGAGGAGAAACGTACCGCTTGAGGTTCTTGACCATGAGGTCCTTGCGCGTGAGCTCGTAATGGTTGGGAAAGTGGTTGACGTACTGCCCGTCGCCGAGGCGGATGCCACTCTCGGGGTTGAACATGCTCTTGATGCTCACCTTGTTGGCCCAGTAGACGTTCCAGTCGTTCCCGTCCGTGCGCTGCCAGCCCCGGCGCTCAAAGTTCCAGACGACCACGTGCTTCTCCGAGTCGACCTTCCACTTGAACTTGGCGCTGCTCGAGCTGCTTCGCTGGTTGCTCATGGCCGCTGCCTGTCTACTGCGACGTTTCGGAAGATCCGCTGTGTTTCCGAGTATCAAGTTTGTATCAATTTAGCCCGTCGACCGATCTTGTGCCACCGCCAGTCCGTGGGCTCATGCAACAAGACGTTGATGACACGAACGATAGTAGTAGTATTAGTATAACAACGACACTAGTAAGCAAAAGGGGTGGAAGCAGGATGGGTCGACTTACGTGACCTACGACGGGCCATCCGACTCTTTTTTCTCGTCGTCTTTCGACGACGATTTCTGCCGCGCACTCGCGCGCTGCTGGCGCAGTCGACGGCGCATCGTCGAGTAGAAGCGGTTCTTGACGGCATTGTCGGTGCGGCCCGGCAACAGTCGCGCAATGTCAGCCCAGTGGTTCCCAATTCGGTCGCGCGTCTTGAAGATCAAGTCGTCTTCTTCTTCGGTCCACGCCTCCTTGTTGACGCTTGGGCTCAAGTGGTTGACCCAGCGCTCGCGGCACTGCTTTCCGCACCGACCCGGCAAGAGGAGCGAGATGGCCGACCAGTCGCTCGCGCCCGATGTCTGCACTGCGATCGCCAGCTCCTGGTCTTCGAGCGCCGACCACGGGCGCTTCCCGAGCTTGTTGCTAAACTTGCCCCGCTTCCGCGGTGACGAGACGTTCGAGTCGCGGTCGTTCTCATTGTCGTAGCCGTCCGTAGTGCTGGGCTTGGGCTCGCGCTTGACGTGCTTGGACGGCCCTTCTGTTGGCAACAGCACGGCCGAGATGGCAGGGTCGTAGTTGAGGCCGTTGAACGACCGCTTCCGGTCCAGAGCGAGCTTGACGATGCCCCCTTTCTTGGTCTTGGCGCTCTGTTTGGACGAGGTGGTGCTGGACGTAGGCGATGACGTTGGCGACGTGGACGCAGACGACCGTGCGTACGATGGTTGGTGGTGCAATGGCGGTACAGACGGTGTCAAGTACGAGTGCGGCGGCCCGTAATCGTCGTCTTGGCCGTCGCTGTCGTGGTCGTGGATGTTGGCGGCCGTCAACGCACTGCCGCTCGTAAACTCATCGTCGTCGTTGTCGTTGGTCACTGACGTCGCTTCGGCCAGGCCCAAGACGCGGCAGAGGTCCTGGCGCAGCGACAAAATGCAGTTTTGCATCTGTTGGAGCTGGTCGTGCACGACACGCTCGTTGTGCAAGAGGTGCTTCAACGTGTCTTCTTGCTGCGCGACCTTGGCGCGCAGGAACTGCATCTCGGTCAAGTCGGCGAGCTGCGTCGGAAGCACCTTGGCGACGTGGCCGGTCATCGGGTCGTTCTCATCCCTCGGTGCAATATGGTTCATCTGCGAGGCCAGTACTTCGAGCGCGAGGCTGTTGCTGTCCATGGAGCTCGGTGGCTCGGGCGTAAGCTTGGACTCGGTATGCTGCGTCGTGATGCCACTCGAGGGGCGGTGGTCCATGGGCTCGTCCGACATGCCTACTACGGGGCATAGACAGGGTCAGCGCCTGCCTGTATGGCCTTGCGCGGAGGCGGCGCCGCCATGAGCGCGCTGCCCCGCGCCTGCTAGCACGTACATGCGTGGGTCTGTCTCGTCGCTTCCAGGGCTGCGTACGTCGTCGGTTGCTCGTCCGCGGTTCCGCCAGCGCTGATGGCCTCCGCGTCGTCGGTTTCTTCCTTGGCAGGTCAAAAGCAAATCGGAAGGAGGTTCGTAACCTTAGTTCGTTGGCGGCCTTGGCGCTTTATATTTCAGCGTGGTGTATACAAACCACTAGATATTTTAATTCCGAGACATTTAATCTGGGCCACCTGGGGGCGTTACCTCGTAACTGTAAAAAATACACTTGTTCCCATAGTAAAAGCTAGTCAAGATTGTTCATTTGTGTTTATATTATTCTGCGTTGTATTTTAATGCACTGTGGCATGCATTTTTATTCTAGAATACGCGCCATATATTGACGTTGATGGCGGCCATCATCGAACTACATTTGATATTTGTATCAAGTAGCTCGATATTTGAAATACGACGCGGTAAAGGTGTTTTATATGACGCTGGTATTTTATGATGCGGATCCAAAATATTGGTGGCCGCCACTTTGCACCAACGGCGTGCAACGGTGGCACCGGTTGTGCGTTTTATTGGCTAAAATGATTTCATTTCGACCAATCCAAAGCGCACAAGGCGTTACATCTCGTTTCACTGGTCGGAAAGGCTCGCGCCACCTTGAGCACTGGCAGTTTGTATACACAGTGTCAACCATACAAACCGTTTCCGACGCGAAGCCAAGAGACGTCGCTTCAACACCGCCCGACCGCCGCACTTTCGGAGGCCATTAATTGGGACAAAGGCTCGTGAGCTCAGTATTTCCAGCGCTAAGTCACTCGAGCCATGGCAAACTCATGGAAGCTTCGATATTTCGGCTTCCAGTACGGGTACGGTGGCTCCCGCATCGCATGGAGCCAGTGTGATTTGTTGGTTGAGTTTTGCTTCCACTTGAATCTCGAGATTGCCGTTGGTGCCAGTGCAAATGCGCCGCAGGTATAATACATACTGTAAGTTAGTGGGAGAACTTAAGCTGTGCGCGACGCACCTGCCCGCTTCTCAATGCAGCACCGAAAGCACACGCGCCTGGCCTCCATATCTGCGATCGTTCGATTGCGCAGTGTGCCCTGCATGAAGCCTCGGCTGCAGCGCCGACACACCGTCTACCATATCGTGTCTGTCTGTCACCTACGGCACACAACGACGCGCGTACCTTGTCGCACTCGAGGCACGAGTACTTTGGACGAAACAAGTGGAAGCCTTTGGCACAGAGGTCGCACTCGGTCGCAACGTACTTGATCGTGCATTCGAGCATATGGACATCGTCGTCTTCGCCGCCAAGCGCGAGAATGGCGTCGCTAACATTGTCCTGTGCCAGGTATAAGGCATCGCGATGGCTAGCAAACGAATGACCGTGAAAGCGTCGTCGGGTGACATGTGGTCCCAGAGGAGTCGATCGAGGTGGCACGCGTACTGGTTGCGCACTTGTCGCTGTACAAGATGGGCAAAGACAAACTTGGGCAGCGCGCTCTTGATCGAGTGCACGTCCAGAAACATGAGCCGGCGACAAGAAACGGGGCGCCCCGCGGGGCTCTCGCGGACAACGTCGCCCGAGTGCAAAAGCACTTGGCGCTCGTAACCGTACTGCGGCGGGAACGCGGCATGCGTCACCGAATGCCACACGCGCGCGTAGCTGCGCTCGCCCTTGGCGTCGACAATCGTATCCATATACTAGACATATCCACCATCCACTTCAAAGGCCATCAAGAAAGTCATGGCGTACCTCGAGCACAAGAAAATCGCGCGCCCGCGACCCCGTGCGCGTCGGTGTCCGCGCCATCCAGCGCAGAAGCACGAGCGCTGAGGATGGCTTATGCCACGGCCCGAGCGCAACGCCGGGCGACTGCAGCACGCACAAGATGCGCGTGTCTTCGAGGGCAAAGACGCGGCAGTACTCGTCGCGGTGGTGCATGAGACTCTTGTAGCGCGACCGGACGCTCACAAAGGACTCTTGGATTGCGGTGGTGGCGTAGCCCATGTAATACTGCTTGCAGGACGCCTTGGGCTGGTAGATGCGGCTATTATTGGCCGCCAGCTTCGAGTGGCGCAGAAGAGCATGAAAGGCCGTCGCGCCTTCTGCGAGGAGCGAGAGCGTCTCGCGCGGGCTCAGTCGCACCGCCTCGGCTGGGCTCCAGCTTGCGTCGATCATGAGCGCGTCGGTGGTGGGTCCGCCACGAATCAGTGATGTTGCCTCGACTGGCACGAACTCTCGCCATGCACGAAAGCACGATGGGTGGGCGTGCCGGCGAGATGATAGAGCAAGGGGCAAGCAGCTCAGCAAGATGCGCGGACGCATCCGGATCCGGATACAGCGAATCAAAGTTGCAAAGGCGGCAGCGACCAACACTGTCTGCGCGCACAGCCTAAGATAACATCCAGGGTTTGGTCCAGGGCAAGGGTCCTGCACGCTGCTGCGCGGTACTGTGCGTACCACTACAAGAAGGAGATGCTCGCGGGTGGATCTGGCAAGTCGGCGGAGATGACGCCACCAGATTCGAAATGGAGAGTCGTCGGATTCGCGCTTGCTCTGTCCACTGAGTCGACGTCAGCCACGTGCGTGTGATCAGGCAGCACGACACTGCGCGAGAATGCATTTTGTTTGAAACGGCGTCGCTTCTGAGAGCACTCGCTTGTCTCTGTGCCGACCCACCGGCACGGCCGACGTTCATGGTTCTTGATGCGGCGCGTTATGAAGCCGTTCGTAGCGCTGCGAGCGCACTGCAATGAGGTCCCGTGGCCTGTCGCTGCATGGCCAAGCGAGCACACTGTGATCATGGGCTCTCGAGCCATATCAGATCGGTTCAGAGGAGTGTGCTCTCCAGAGGTGCGAGCACAGCGTAGTATCGGTAGGCGCCAATAGCGTTCTAGATACTACAAGCGTGGTCGTCCTCGGGCTGTTGCTTGCTGCGTCAACGGGCCTTGGCTTCTGTTGTGTCAACAAAGAAAGACCATCGTCAGCGTGGCAAAATGCAAGTTGAAGTTCAAGGGCCGTTGACGGCAATGTGAGCGATACAAATGCATGTTTTCTACTTTTTTTCAAAAATGGGGATCGGTATACAATCTGCAAATCAAAAGCGTTTGAAATCCAGCGGCCGCCCGCTGTTTTTTACACGATTCATCTTGTGCAGCCGCTTCTGTATTGGCAATAAAATCACTGGCCGGTACACGTCTGCGACACTATTATTATTCAAAAATAGAAAACGTTTTAAACACCATATAGGGACCGCGTACGATGTATGAAACACCCTGTTGCAAACCCGCCTGGCTATCTTGGCTGCACACGGCCAAAGTGGCCCGATGATGGATTCCGCAATTCGCCGTGTCATGCCGAGCCTCGGCCCCGCGTCCGTCGTCCAAAACTCAATTCGCACCGCGCTCTTGACCAAGTCGTCGTCGCACATGAAGCGGAGCCGGGCGTGCGCCAACCTCGCGAGCCTCGAGCTCGCCGAGGCTGGCCCGCTCGTGACCAAGAAGTCGAAACGTCTCGAAGCTTCACTCATCCCGACGGACCTGCGCCGCCAGTCGCTCTTCCTCGAGGCCGAGTTTGCGTTTGTGCCGGGCTTCCGCGACGCCGACGCTGCGCTCGCCGTGTGGATGGAGCCGTGCAGCCTCTCGGAGACGAGAATACAAAAGGCGTAGGCCACCACCACCGACACGGTTGGTATATCAAACGACAACGTAGTATTTAGTATAAAGCGCGGAATGGAGTCGCACTAATAAGAGTATAGGATGAAATCAAGATGTATATCGTAGTGTGGTCGTGTCATTGTGGTGCGACTAGCCGTATGGCGACCAGTTGGACGTGCCGCCGGGGGCTTGGCGCGTCGACCGCGACGACGACGCCGTCGGCGGCATCGAACCAGACGTCGGCATGCGCTGGAACTGCTGCGGCTGTCCAAACTGCGCCGCGCCTGTTTGCTGAAACACACTATTGCCTTGCTTGGGACCGTTGCTACTCGGTGGGTAGCCCGAGTGATCTTGGTACGAGTAGTTGCTTGCAGCGGTTGGCGGCGGGCCACCGCGACTGTAGCCCGTTGGAGGGGGGCCACCGTACGCGTGCGACGGTGGTCCTAGATTCGGTGGCGCATACGCCGTCGGTGGCGGTTGCTGGTACCGCTGTTGCTGCGGTGGTGCTTGGTATTGTTGTTGCTGCGATGGTGGTGCCCGAAATTGTTGCGGCGGAGGAAACGACTGTCCACGGTTGGACTCGGGACCGCCCACGCTCACGTTGTTCATAAGCTTGGAGAGCGGGGACGGTGGGTTCCCATACGAATGGTTGTTGCCGCCAGCCGTCATCGGTGGAGCAAACGACGATGCGGACGACGAATGGCTCGTGTAGTTGCCCGAGCCGCCCGTCTTGCGCGCAAGCCATTGCCGTCGCTTCTTCTCCCAGTTTTGATCGCGCTTCGACGACGTCAGCGGAGGCTGTGTCCGCGGACTCGCTCCTCGGCCCCATCCCATGGTTTGCGGACGCTCTTGACCTTGCTGGGAGTATCCCGTCGCCGGTGGCTTGTAGCCCCCGTAACCACCGGCTGTCTGGGGCGGTGCGTAGCCTGTGGATGGTGGTGCATACCCCGTCGGCGGCGGGCGTCCATAGCCGGTTTGCGGTGGCGCCAGCGCGGTGGGTGGAGGTGCTTGGTGCTGGTTCGAGTACTGTTGCTGGTTGTTGCTCGTGCCTTGTTGGTACGGTGTACGGAGACCCGGTTTTTGCGGAATAAATTCCGTCCGCTGCACGGCGTCTCGGTTCTCTGCGTCGGGCTCGGGGGCCGGCGCATTCGTGCCGAAGCCACCCGGGCCTAGGGAGAAGGTGACGTCAACCATCTACGAAACACAGCGTTGTCTACCAAAGGTGAGCTGGGACGCGCCGCCGGGTGGGCCGTGCACGCGCGTCGAGCTGCGCTTTACGTTCATTTGCGTCGACGTGAGCGTCGACATCGTGGGTTTCTTGCGAAATGGCCCTATTTATATCCCCTAGCTGCATCTCAGAAAAGGTCGACGATTACGCCACACAGAATGAGCCTCTTTGAGCTCGCGGACGCTGTCTTTGAAGCCAAACCCTCGAGTGCCCCGCCGCGCTATGCCACCGCGTCGGGCGAGCTCCCGACGCTCTTTCTCTTGGACGAGACACTACAGCAGTTGCATCTGGCGCGGCCGCTCGCGGGGCGTACTGCGCCCGTGACGACGCCAACGCCATGGACGTACAAGCCGCGCGATGTGCCGACACCTCTCGCTATTGGCGCTTTGCCAAGTGCGTCCCCAAATGCACCGTCTTCAAGTTTGAGTGCGAGCCAGAATCCATTACGACGCGTCTTTTCCAATTCCTTGCTCGAGGTACGGCCTTACCACGCGATACAAGTCGTCTTGCACGATGACGGCTTGCGGTCCGACACCTCATCATGCGTATATTGTTTGCTCAAGTAGGCGTCGGCGCCATCGCCACGTCCACCGCTGGTGGCGCAAACGCCGCCATGCGGGGCCAACACTGAAACAGGTGGTCCGCCAAGTGCAACGTGGGCTGATTCGGACGATACTGAATCGCTCGATATCCTAGATACAAACGATGCCGCCGCACGAAGCGCCTTGAAGGCCGCGCTGGACGAGTGCGATGCCTACGATCGTGACGGTGCGCTGCATGCACGTGTAGTACAACTCGCAGCACATGCATGCGTAGGTGCAACGTCGGCAGCTGTCGCACCCGCCGCGTTTGCAGCAACCATCGAGGACAAGTACCTGCGCGCGACTCTTGTACGAGCGAGCGGCGCGTGTACCAAGGAAGATGACCTGATATATGTAGGCGCCGCTCCCGACGACGCCATTTGTGGCGCTGGCAAGAAAGCGGCTCCAGAGACGACTGCTTGAGTACGTTGCGGACGTTGCGAGCGCCAACGCGCCGTCATCGGCGGGGGATCTGGAGGCGTTTGGACGCGACATTCGCGCTGTCTTGACGTCGCTGCAGGACCAGACGAGCAACCAGCGTACCCACGACGAGAGCGACAGCCTCAGCGCGCATGTCCAGGGCACCAAACAGCCGACGACGGGGCAGGCCGCGCTTCTTGCCAAGCTCGCAACGCTTCCGAAAGCACAGCTCGAGAAGCTCCCGAAAGCGCAGCAAGAGCTCGTTGCGTTTTCTAAGCGCTATCAACAAGTGCTGTCGATGGCACCCGCCGACGTCGCACAGCTGCCGCCACACACCCAGCAGTTCGTCGTCCGCGCCCAGGCAATGACGAAATGACCCGTCAACGTCGTCCTCAGCGTTGACGCCAACAGCGAGTTCCACGGGCGCCTTGCACGACGGACGTCAAAGATACTTTTACGCGCCACTGTCACGTGTTGAGTTTGCTGCAGACACTGTTGACACATCAAGATTTGCACCACGTTGCGTGCTGCCATTGCGCGATGGCAGTCTGGCTTGCATTACATGCACCCAATTACATGGGTGCAGACCATGGAGGACCAGGCGCGGGATGATGAAAATGCCACGTCTTCGTAATGACCACGTGAGCACCAACGGTCGAGCACACCAAGCCCGCGAAATCACTTGGCTCGCGTCAACACTCTACGGACCGGGCTCGGAAGGGACAGCAGGGACACAGTCTCGCGAATTCTGAGCCTGTTCCGCACCGTATCCGGACGTTCCACACCCATCGCGTGTCTGTATCCGGTAGAGTTGCCTCCTGTTTTTTATAAATCATTTTATTATGCAGCCCTGCGTGCCTCCTCGACGTTTCGCAGCATCGTAATAATTTAATAACAAAAAATAGAATCGGACGCATTTTTTTAGAAATTGAAGCTGCGCGACGAAGCGAAGAAGCTCTTCATTTTCCAACTCGCCGCCAAGAAGACAGTACCATGGCCGACACCAAGCCCCTGAGCGTACGCTTCCTTCCCCTCCTCCTCGCCAAGGCAGTAGCATGCCATGGAAGGATGGGTCCATGAACATGGAGGCTCATGCATCGTTCTATGTAGACGTGGGAAGCCAACGTCGAAGTCGCCCTCCGCATGACCGAGACCGGCCTCGGCGCCATGGCCCCCATCACGATCTGCGACGCGCTCGCCAAGACGGTCAAGGAGAACCGCGACAAGCCGTGCCATCACATCAAGAAGGACGGCGTCTGGTACGAGATGCGACTCGAACGAGGTGCAGGACGCTCATGACGACGATGTAGGACCATCAAGACGTGGGGCGAGCTCCATGCCGAAGTCGAGTCGTTTGCCAAGAGTTTGATCCACATTGGCCTCGAGCCGTTCGAGTGCGTGAGCATCATTGGCTTTAATGCGTCCGAGTGGGTCGTTGCCAACCTCGGCGCGATCATGGCCGGCGGTCTCTCGGCCGGTGTGTACACGACGAGCAACCCCGAGGCGTGCCACTACATTGCCGAGCACTCCGAGTCGCGCGTCGTTGTCTGCGACGGTGTCACGCAGCTCGAGAAGTTTGTCTCGATCGCGGACAAGTTGCCCCACTTGAAGGCGTTGGTCATCTACAACGACGTTGTGCCTGCGGACCTCAAGTGCGCCGTGCCGGTCTACGCGTACGATGACTTCCTCAAGCTCGGTGCGGACGTTGCCGCCGAGAAGCTCCAGGAGCGCATTACCAACCAGCGCCCGGGCCACTGCTCGACGCTCATCTACACGTCGGGTACGACGGGCCACCCGAAGGCCGTGATGCTGTCGCACGACAACATTACGTGGACCGTGTATGCCACCGAGACGACGTACGGCCGCACGGGTGTCACGTTCTCCAACAACGAGGCGCTCGTGTCGTTCTTGCCGCTCTCGCACATTGCCGCGCAGCTCTTTGACATTTACCTCCCGATCATGAAGGGTGTCCGCATCTGGTTTGCGCAACCCGATGCCCTCAAGGGCTCGCTCGGCGCGACGCTCAAGGAAGCGCGCCCGACCTTCTTCTTTGCCGTCCCGCGCGTCTGGGAAAAGATGATGGAGAAGATGATCTCGGTCGGCGCGTCGACGACGGGCATCAAGAAGTCGCTCGTCACGTGGTGCAAGGACGTTGGTTTCCGCAAGAACCAGCTCGCCCAGTACGGTCAGTCGGGCGGTCTTCCGTGCGGCTACACGATCGCGCAAAAGCTCGTCTTCGGCAAGGTCCGTGAAGCGCTCGGTCTCGACCAGTGCCGCGTGTTTGCGTCGGGTGCGGCGCCGATCAGCAACGAAACCATCAACTTCTTCATGGGCCTCGACATGCCCATCTACGAGTTCTTTGGCCAGAGCGAGAGCACGGGCCCGACGTCCTTGTGCTTGGCCGAGCAGTGGAAGGTCGGCACGGTCGGCCGCGAGCTCGAGGGCACGCGCATGAAGGTGCTTGACGACACGCAGGAGCTCGTCGCCCAGGGTCGCAACACGATGATGGGCTACCTCAAGCAGGAAGACGTGACGAAGGACACGATCGACGTCGAGGGCTGGCTCCACTCGGGTGATTGTGCCAAGATTGACGACGATGGATTTGGCTCCATCACGGGCCGCATCAAGGAACTCATCATCACGGCCGGTGGCGAAAACATTCCGCCGGTCCTCCTCGAAGACGCCGTGAAGGAAGAACTTCCCGTGCTCTCGAACGTCATGGCCATTGGCGATCGCCGCAAGTTCTTGACGGCGCTCTTCACGCTCAAGGTCATCGTTGACGCTGAGGGCAACCCCACGGACAAGCTCGAGTCGACGGTGGCGACGACGCTCCAATCGATTGGCTCGTCGGCGACGACGGTCTCGGAAGCGCGCGAGTGCCCCAAGTTCAACGCGCACCTCATGGCCGGCGTCAAGAAGGCGAACGCGCGCGCCGCGTCGCGTGCCCAGCACATCCAGAAGTTCCACATCCTCGACCACGACTTCAGCGTCAACGGCAACGAACTCACGGCCACGCTCAAGCTCAAGCGCCGTGTCGTCGTCGACAAGTACGCCGACATCATCGAGTCGCTGTATGCTTAAGCGTTGTAGTCTTTATCTTATATATGCACCAACCCCTGTCGTATTGATCTTAAGCGTTCGTCTCGCTTGCACGCAGCCTGTATGCACGACCTTGTGTGGAGGAGTCGCGTACGTGTGGTCAGCAGAAGGCACATCGCTATCAGAGTATCTTTCTAGTCAAACAGCTTGAAGTAGAAACTGCAAAGTCGACGTATGGCGGACTGAACAATCTTCTCGAATTCACCGAGCTCCGCTGTACCTTGGACTCTGTGTCCTGGCCGCGGCATGCACCGTGACGCAGGTGTTGTGCAATCGACTATATAATGCTCTTTAACCCTCGGTGCCGCCATAGAGCGACTCGATCACGTCGGCGTACTTGTCGACGACCACCTTGCGCTTGAGCTTGAGCGTCGGTGTGAGCTCGCCACCGGGCAAGCTAAAGTCATGTGGCAGCACATGAAACTTGGCAATGCTCTGTGCCCGCGACGTCGCACGCGCATTCGCCTTCTTCATGCCTGCATCGAGGTACGTCTGCACCTTGACGCACGCAATCGCATCGTTCGAATTTGTCGCGTTCGAGCCAATGGACGCGAGCACTTCGAGCGCCTTGGGGTCGAGCTGCGTTGACGGCGCGCCATCGCCGTCCATGACGACGCGCAGCGTCAAAAGCGCAGTTAAAAACTTGCGCTTGTCGCCAATCACCATGACATTGGAGAGGAGCGGCAGCTCTTCCTTGATCACATCTTCAATGAGTACGGGCGGGATGTTCTCGCCGCCGGCCGTGATGATGAGCTCCTTAATGCGGCCGGTAATGAAGCCAAAGCCGTCTTCGTCCAAGGTCGCGCAGTCGCCAGAGTGCAGCCAGCCGTCGGTGTCAATCGCGGCGGCCGTCTCGGCCTCCATGGCGAGGTACCCCATCATCGTGTGCCGGCCGCGGAACACGAGCTCGCGCGTCTCAGGCATCACCATCCATTCGGTGCCCAGCAGCGGTTTGCCAACCGAGCCAATCTTCCATGCACTGGGAAAGCACACCGACTGCGGGCCCGAGCACTCGCTCTGACCAAAAATGTCATAGATCGGAATGTCGAGCGAGCTGAAGTAGTTGAGGATCTCGACGCTCATGGGCGCCGCGCCGACCGCGCAGAACCGACAGTCGTCCAAGCCCAAGGCGGCGCGGACCTTGGAGAGCACGAGGCTGTTGGCGAGGCCATAGCCGCAAGGCGCGCCGCCCGACGCGCCATACTGCGCGAGCTGGTTCTTGCGCGAACCCTTCTTCTTCGCCCACGTCGCAATCGACTTTTTGAGGCCTTTCGTCTGCTTGCCAATGTCCCACATCTTTTCGGCAATCTTCTCCCAGACACGTGGCACGCCGAGAAAGAAGGTCGGTCGAACCTCCTTCAACGTTTGGCCCAGCGATCCCTTGAGCGCATCCGGTTGCGCAAAGTAGACCTTGGCGCCCGACATGATGGGCAAGTGAATATCAATCATCTGCGCCGCCACGTGCGAGAGCGGGAGGTAGCTCACGAGCCGCGCGTTGTGGTCGAGGCCGACGCCAGCCTTGGCCTGCGCTTCAAGCATCGCCGCCACGGTCCACGTAATGTTGTCGTGGGACAGCATCACGGCCTTGGGGTTGCCCGTCGTACCCGACGTGTAGATAAGTGTCGAGCACTGACCCGGGCGCTGGTCGGCCATGCGCACGTCGAGGCCCTCCGTCTTGACGCCGAGTGCCATAAAATCGTCAAAGCTGTGGCACGGCACGGAGCACTGAAACCCGTTGGGCACAGCCGCGTTGTAGACCACGAGCGCCTTGAGCGCCGGCAGCTGATCGGCGATCGACGCCATCTTCTCGAGCTGCGCGACGCCGTCGCAGACGACGACGGCCGCGCTCGCGTGGTTGGCAATGTACTGGCAGGCCGGCGGGTTGTTGGTCGTGTAAATGCCGGCAGCAATCCCACCGGCAAGGATGCAGCCAACGTTCGCAATGAGCCACTCGGGCGAGTTGAAGCCAATGATGCTAACGGCCTCAAAGCGGTCCATGCCCAGCGCGAGCAAGCTGCGGCCAAACGCTTGGCACTTGTCAAAGTACTCACGCCAGCTCATTTTGGCCCTACACCATCGCTTCGTCAGCTGCCGATGCTATAGGTCCAGCGTACCATGCGCCGTTGGCCTTCCACAAAAGCGCGTCTTCGGCGCCGTGGTCAGCAACCACCTTCTTGAACGAATCGATGATTGTAATCGGTGCTTGTCCTGCAATCGTGCCGGGTGGGCCCATGCGGATCTTGACTTGGCCATCGCGGGTCCACGACTAGTGGCAGGGGTCAGGCCAAAGCTGCAAACGTAGAAGTCGGAAGCGTACCGTCAGAGGGTAGTCGTCGTTGGGAAACTCAATGGAGACGCTCGATGCAAGCTCGGCCATGTTGGGAACGCTGGAAAAAGCACAATGAGCGATATGATGAAAGCAAAAACAAGTTTCGATATTTTACTTGCCGCCAACGTCAACTGTGATCTTGGTCCAGAAAACTTCGATTTCGCCGTTGAGTTAATCAGTACACATCAGCCTACATGAAGTGTCGGATGCACCGCCGTACGACCAACGTGACGTGGCGACAGGCCAGCCAAACGACGATGGTAGCTCCTTCATTCGTTTTACTGCGAGCGGTGTGCAATCATGATGTGGTGATCGTCCTGGTTCGTTCGATGACATCTCGACGTGAGTACTACAATTTGCACCGGCGATTCGTCAACAACATGACGGACCAAGGTCAATACTAGTAGAATAAAATATCGACGCTCCTACGCAGTCCCGACAGTGCTATTTGAACGAAAGGCAAATTTCCAGTTAGTGCCGAAAAAAGACAACCGTCATTCACGAACCGATCTTGAACGACGGGTCCTTCGTGGCTTTTGGAGTCCAGGCGCCGAGGGCTCGTACTCGAATAGTACGATGCGCTGTCAGCTTTGCTATTGCTGTGCTTGCCGCAAAGAAGTATTGGCACACGGACCGAGGCTTCGTCCATTTCACACGGCGCGCCGAGGTTGAGCGTGGGGTCAAATCCGTTGGCCAACACCATTTTTGATGCCTGCGGTGCTAGCATCTCTTTCTATCACGTGTAGCATGCCTCAGAATGCAGTTGTCGGCGCGCACTTCAAACCACACAAGGGCGACTGGTGTAAAGGAGGCCAGCATCCCTCGCCTCGTCGCTATAATAGGAGAGTGCCTGGACTGATGAAGAATGAGGCGGCGCTGAACGGTATTGACGAACGGTAGTA